CTTTTTCCAGTATCCGAGCATAGCCTGTTCATTGAGTGACAGTAATATGTGATGGGAACTTAGATAAACAAAAGACATTGGGTGACAGTAATAGGTGATGGGAACTTAGATAAACAAGCTTTAGAAACTACTGAATAACTCTCCAAAAAGGGGGGAGGGAGACTAATTGCAGTACTATGCTATTTTAAAGCCACTTTCCAATCTGAAAAACACATTATTCTATGTGTCATTTTATATTGCCAATATCCTTAATTTACAAAAGCTGAAACAGAAGTGGTAATTAACATACATATTCCACATTTGGACACATTCAAATCAAACTTGTGTGTTCAAAATTTTTTGAACTTATGCTTATACAAAAAGTTATCCTGGAAGATTAAATGAGATAAAGCATGTAGACTGGCACAAGTCCGGCAAACAGTCAGTTCTCAACACTGCCCATTAATATTGTTCTCAATTTTCCAACTTTACAAACTAAATGGTTATAAAATGATATACACAACTATGTATACATCACATATATAAGCTAACATATAGTAATACTATAAAGTCAGTATGTTATTGTACCAAGGAATGTTCTTCATCTAGACAGAGTTTAACTTTAACAAAGCACGATCATTTCTCTGATCCACAAAGCAGCAGAGAAAACTTGAAAAGGGGTAGTGTTAAATTTTAGCTATTCTCTCTGCTTATCAATTAAGAATACAAACTCTGCATGGTCTAGCATGAATTATAATTAGTACTCAGCTGATCCTAGAGAACTGGCTCAAAAAGAATAGTTAAGACCTCAAGCACGTGTACGAATCATCATTTATTTGCAAGGCTGCACCAACCACTGAAATCTGATTACTTCAATTCCGATGCTGAAATCCTCAATTCATTACCTGTCTCATGCTTGAAAATATTTGTTCAAGTCCCTACACAAATTTTTTTTAAATACCCAAAAGTCACTTAAACTGACAATATTACAGAATCCAAGGCACAGTTTTTAAAAAACTTCAAGAGTCTCAACCACGCAGCATTTATGACAGAGAAAATGGAAAGGCAGTTCGGAGAGCAAGTTCTTTCTTAAGTAAATATTAAAAGTAACCTTACGCCTTCATAATGAAAAAAGAAAATCTCTTGTTTCCCAACTTAATCTCGATTGGTGGGACAATGTACATTCTCCCCCCGCCCCCGCCGCCGCCTCCCACGCCGAGTCACGCCCGGAGCGCGCTGAAGTGAGGCGGGGAAGAGGCATAAACTCCCGGGTAATGACCTGTCCCTGCTACTTCCTGCCGGGTTTTGGCACACAACAGCTACATCCACGTGGACCTCCACGCGGGACGGCGAGACCCATCGCCACTAGAAGAACCCGCCGGCTCCAACCGGCCCCGACCAGCCCCGCCCTCCCGCGGGGGCGCCGGGCTCCGTGCAGCGGGCTTGG